ATTCGTATTACATGTTTCAGTATAGTTAAAGTTATTTCTAAAAACCACCAGAAAGTGCCCAGGTGATTTTACCCCAGCCTGAACTGGTGTGAATGTGTTTCCACAGTGTATGACAAGTTATGGTGATTTTACTCACTCTGCACTATTGTGAATGTGTTTCCATAGTGTATGACCAGATTATCAGAGGTCTTTGGGACCCACTCTCATACACATATAGGCTTTAGGTCGTGTACTAGGGTGATTAGCCTTTGGGGCAGCTCTGCGTACGTATAACCATATTATCAGATTACCAGATTATCAGAATATCAGATTTGAGTGGTTTTGCCTTGTACATCGAGATTACTCTGTACATGGGTAAGGCTATTCATTGGGTACCTTTTTGTATGATTTTTCAGTATTTCTACAAATTATTAGATTTCAGATTATAGAATTCAGTTAACTCAGTTTTCAGAATAAAGCTTTCAGCTTATAGTATTGATCAACAACAATATTTCATAGATTTTCACGGATGTCATAGTATTTATATTCGTCACATTTTACAGTTACTTATCTAGAATGAAGAACAAAGAATTTTATGATATATTCATATTTGATTGTAAAAAGTGTTACCAGATTTCAGAATTTCTTAAAATTTCAATAGAGCAAGAATTTTCAGAAAATATGTATAAATGAGAAAAGTATACTTATTTGCAAATTATCCACTCACTGAACTTTAAGCTGATATATTTTTCACATTTTTTCTTTATCAGGCAGATAGTAGCCGAATTGGGTAGCTTTGGAGCCTGTCGAACCACTAAATTGAGCCACGCGTCATAGGTTGTATGATATCCTTTATCAAATTATACATTATATGATCTTTTGGGATACATGTAGCTTAAATCAGAAAAGTTCAATATGGGCTCATTAGATAGTTGATATCTTTAGTATGTTTGAGGATTGTTGATTGTAAAGCAAGTGAATGTTTATTTGTCAGCATTTTATTTGAATAGTTTGTAATTTGAGGGGCCGTCTTACTCTATTCATATTATAGGTATTGATTTGAAGAAAATTGATTATTGTTCAGGTGGTTTTAGTTTATATTTTAGGAAAAACTCTGTCAAAATTTTGTTAAAAATAATTTTTAGTCAAGCAAGTCAAATTGCCTTGGTGGTGGGTCCGACGTTTAGCTGGTATCTATCATCGAAGCACGACACGTATCGAATCTCCTAAGATGATTCGGACGGGTAGTGTCAATTGGTATCGGAGCATGGTTTAGTGGTTGTTAAGCTCGAGTAATTATGAGTTTTTTTTTCGAAATAGCATGTCATTGAGATTATTAACCGTGGCATGGTGGCAGAACTCACAGGCTCCAATGTGGTATTTGAAACTCATATTGCCCTTGATAACGAGAATATGGCATCTAAGAAACAAGAAGGAACTTTATTGATTTGAGCATAATAAGTATGAGGATGTTATTGAGAATTATCCGATGGTAATGGAGTTGTTAGAGTTGTCATGTTGGGGCCATGTTATATTTTCTCTAATATACTGTATATCCAGCAGCCAGTTAAGTGAAAAGTATAATTTTTATTGGTAATGAGATTTATTAGGTTATGAGTTTTTTTTTATGACTATTAGAGGAAAATGTCTTGTAGATGCCTTGGATGATAAATATGGTCTAATGTTGATATATGTATAGTTGGTGATATTACAAGATGAAATCACGATTGTTTTGTAAATCTAAAGGATTGTGCTATTATGAGAATTATTGTGGAAATTGTGATCATATTTAGTATATGGAGGAAGATGCATATATTAGAAAATCAAGATGTGGAGTTATGATAAGGAATCTTGTTTATGAAAAATAAATAAATAAATAATGAAACCATATGGAATGTTGATTCGCGACGAAAAATGGTGTTATTAAATATGTTTTACTTTGCGATTTTGAGTAAATTAATGTGATCGTGGCCTATCTTTTGTTGATTCTGGGACAAGCAAGTATCTAGGTTTGTACTTCAACTACTATTGAAGGAAAGATGATTGGAATTTATGTTGGTATGTGTGTATCTAATGGGTGACATGAATAAGAAATAGCATAAAGTTGAAGAACGGGAGAAAATTAGCATGATTAAATGTTGAGATCATACGATATTAAGATATTCAATGTAACAAGGTTTTATGATTCCAAAGGGCATTGTGAATGGTAGTGCACTAAATTTATAATTAATGGTACGTCAATATTAATTAATGGTACGTCAAAATAATATTGGGATGATATATTTAGAATGCAAAGTGAAATACTCTTCCCATGACCATGATTGGGATTATTGTGTTAGATTAAAATAGATTGAAATGACATGTTAAATTGTAAGTATAAGTTGAGTTCTTTGAGTTTTGTGTTGCTATTGGATTACTATGTCTGCAATTGTGATTTTGGATTTCATGAATTAAGAATTTCATTCTCATCGAAGTAATATGATAAGGAATTCATGGATGACGGGTTACCTCATTGTCGAGACTAGGATTAAAGAATGTTTATTTTGGATATGAAGGTAACTTAGCTAAGGTTATTCTAGCATAAAACTTTTATAGATATTTGAAGATCGGCAAGGATTTGGATTTACATTGCATTATCGAGGTCATGGCGCTCTAGTGTGGGAAATAAATTTGGTGTCGAGATGATATTTATTAAAAAGGAAAAATAGAATCTTGATGGTATATTCTTGTGTGAAATGTTACTTGATAGTTATAAAGAGCACTATTTTTGTGATCCTAAGGAAATAAGTATAATCAAATGTTTGAACTTATACAATGTGACCATAAATGACAAGGTTACATGATATAGTGAACAGCAAGTGAAGAGATGTTATGGTCGTCCCGTAGCCAAATAATGTGATGAGATATTTGGTTATTAATTAACTTTGTCAAGGCCATTTGTGGATTATTATAATATATTACATACAACCTATAAGCTTCGAGCTAAATTTGGAAGTTAAGGTGAATTTAATGAATTTTTAGTAATGTCAAGTTTGGGAGATTTTCGATTGTATTTTTAGGTCTCTCGAATAAAGTATTCCATTCTTATTGAGATCTATAAGTTTGGAACATATGGAGGATGTGTTGGATGGTTTAAAGTCTGAGATGATCATCAAATGTAAATTTTATTAAATTGTGGAATGGTATCTTTAGGTTATAATATTCATTGAAGGTCTTTGTGCAATATACAAGAAGGATTATGCATTGGTAATATGTCAATGGCCTCTTTATGGAATAAGAGTATAGAATTATCATGGATTAAATGTTATTATTGTATTTTCATAGAAAGAAAGAGCACCAAAATCTTGTGGGTTTAGAAATGTCAAAAGCTTTGCTATTAGATTACATTATGATGAAATATGTGCTCTCATATCTAAAGTTGATGAGGGCCTGATTTATGATAATGAATTATATTAAGGTTTAGAAAGTATGCTGAAGTAAATGATGAATTATGGATAGTATTATAGATTGTTAAAGAGGTATGACTAAGACATGTTTTATTGTTGGTTATATTGGGGTTGGAGTTAGAATTTGTGGTGTTATATTCTTGCTAGAAACATTGATACTTATATATCACCGTAGTTTAAGGTATATTTCAATTTGAAAGGGTTGAAATTGAAGTTGTGCATATATTATCATTGGTTGATATAGAATTAAAAGAAAATGAACATCATACTGAGCTATCTCAATTGTTGTTGGGGATAACTAGAGTTTTAGAAAACCATGAACAATTGAAATTTTTCCAAATAATGTTAATTTAGAATTGGAGTAGCTGCCCACAAACATTTTTCGATTTGGGGTTCCAAATATACAGAATGGGGACAAAATGATATTTGAATCATTGTTGATAGATCGATAGAAGTTACAAGAATTCTTTTCAAATGATATAGTCAGTTCATGAGATAGAATTATTAAATCATATTTAGATAAGATTTCTGTTTATATGGAGTTTGAGTATTTATCTTTGACTTAGGGAGTTACATGACTAAATTACATTGTGTAGCTTCTTGGAATGTTAGACACTATGAGGATAAGTTCAGAAGACAGGTTATCAACTACAGTTTGTTAATTAAAGGGAACTTGGGTAATTAGTTATTTTCATGGAGATGATATATTAGAACTAGATACAAGTGATGTTATGTAAGGTTATACTTAGAGGGTGAAATATTCTAAGGACATTTATTGTGATGACATTGGCGAAAGAATGTTATTCGGTCTTAGTATATAACAATTGTTATATAAAAGGGAGTTGATTAGAAAATAGTTCAAATCATGACATAAGATGAAGTTTTGAAGAGTACAAAAATAGTATCTTGGACTTCAAATTGGGAAATAGTTGAATTCTTCTAAGATATGATAAAATGAAAAGTTGAGAATTTCACATATTGATCTTTGAGATATTATTTGGAACTTGGGTCAAATTGTTTAATGATGAAGTTTACAATGAGGTTATCTGATATTTAATAATGTATGGTCTATTTCTAAGGCTTAGTAAGTAGATATCAGATTTAGTTTATGCTTTAAGATTGCTAGTGAAGTTAAAGAGAGCTTAGCTAGATAAGATGCCTAGATATGAAAGAATGAAGTTATGTCTAGGTTGCTAGAAAAAATTATTCGTTATGTGTGCTCTATACCTTTATATGTTCGAATTCTAGTTGATAGAATTTCCAGGACGAAATTCTTTTAAGGAGGTAAGATTCTTACGTCTCATTTCATACTAGTCAAAAGTCAATATTATTTATTCAAAGTCAAAGGTTCGACTGGTCAAAGCCAAGGTCAATTGGGGACTTAGATGAAATTAAATCATTTTATTGGGATTTATTTTACAATTGACAATAATTGAAGGTTTAAGATAGATAAAATGTAATTTTGGGAATCTACTTATATAGTATTGAATGATAAAGATTAAATAATATATTATGTGAGAGTTAGAGGACTTAAATTCAATTATTGGCATGAGTGGATTACACGTGGCAAATGCTTCATCATTTACTCAATTTTCTCATTTCATACACACACACACACACCGGCTGAAGACAGGAGAAGGAAGCAGAAAAAATCGAGAAAGAAAGAAAAGAGAGAAAGGAAAAAGTAAAAAGTAAAAGGAAAAAGAAAGGAAAAAAAGGTAGGGTTAGTTATTCCAATTTCAACTTCAATTTGACAAATTTCTTGGTATGTTTTATTCTTAATTTTTTTAGGGTTGCGATTTATTGGTTTAATTTCCAGATTGAAGGAAAGAATATTTGAATTGGGAAGGCTACTTATGTTAAGGTATGAAATACCAATTTTGGAAAAAACCTTGAATTTTTATTTGGGTTTTTGAATGAATATAGAATAATTGTAGGGATGAAATAAGGCATGAATTTATGGAGCAAGATGGAAAATTATATTGGTTAAATTATAATTATTAGTTTTACTAATTTGGAAGAAGGAATTATTTTCATGTCTGGAGTGAAAATTATTTTGATAAATTAGATTTTAATGAAAGGATTAGAACTCTAGAAGGTAGAATTAGTTTCAAATATGAAGGAAATTAAAGAATATATCCAAGTGTCGAGAAGTCGAGCATTTCGTAGTTAAAAGTTAAGAATACTTGGTAGGGTGATTGTTAAATTGGTTATCTTGTATCATATTTCAGGAGATGACGAGAATATTGAAATCATGACCAGTCCATAACTTGGTGAGTGGATATAAAACTTATTTTTTAGAAATTAATTATTTATTAAATTTACATTAGATTAGAGAATTTACTTTTTCATACAGTTGATTTGACAACATGATTTTTAGAATAAAGTGGATTTATAATCAGTTGTTTTTAAAGTGAAATTCAGTTCAATTAAATCATTTCAATAGCACATGTCCATTCGTATTACCTGTTTCAGTATAGCTAAAGTTATTTCTAAAAACCACCAGAAAGTACCCAAATGATTTTACCCCAGTCTGCACTGGTGTGAATGTGTTTCCATAGTGTATGACAAGTTATGGTGATTTTACTTGCTCTGCACTATTGTGAATGTGTTTCCATAGTGTATGACCAGATTATCAGAGGTCTTTGGGACCCACTCTCGTACACATATAGGCTTTGGGCCGTTTACTAGGGTGATTAGCCTTTGGGGCAGCTCTGTGTACGTATGACCAGATTACCAGATTATCAGAATATCATATTTGAGTAGTTTTGCCTTGTACATCGAGATTACTCTGTACATGAGTAAGGCAATTCATTGGGTACCTTTTTGGTGTTATTTTTCAGTATTTCTACAGCTTATTAGATTTCAGATTATAGAATTCAGTTAATTCAGTTTTCAAAATAAAGCTTTCAGCTTATAGTATTGATTAACAGCAATATTTCATAGATTTTCACGGATGTCATAGTATTTATATTCGTTACATTTTACAGTTACTTATCTAAAATGAAGAACAAAGAATTTTATGATGTATTCATATTTGATTGTAAAAAGTGTTACCAGATTTTAGAATTTCTTAAAGTTTCAATAATGAGAAAAGTATACTTATTTGCAAATTATCCACTCATTAAGCTTTAAGCTCATATATTTTTCACCTTTTTTCTTTATCAGGCAAATAACAGTCGAATTGGGCAGCTTTGGAGCCTGTCGAACCACTACATTGAGCCACACGTCATAGGTTGTATGACATCCTTTATCAAATTATACATTATATGATCTTTTGGGATACATGTAGCTTAAATCAGAAAAGTTCAATATGGACTCATTAAATAGTTGGTATCTTTAGTATATTTGAGGATTGTTGATTGTAAAGCAAGTGAATGTTGATTTATCAGTATTTTATTTGAATAGTTTGTATTTTGATGGACTGTCTTACCCTATTTATATTATAGGTATTGATTTGAAGAAAATTGATTAATGTTTAGGTGGTTTTAGTTCATATTTCAGGGAAAATTCTGTCAAAATTTTGTTAAAAATAAATTTTAGTCGAGCAAGTCAAGTTGCCTTGGTGGTGGGTCCAGCGTTTAGCTGGTATCTACCATCGGTGCAAGACACGTATCGAATCTACTACGATGATTCGGAAGGGTCGTGTCACTAATGGTTTGAACTTTTAAATGAGGTGGTCAAACACAATCTGAAGCAGGAAGGTGTCTTATATTCAAGTCTCACTGTCAATGTGCATGAGTCAAGCTTTTGATTAAAAAGTTATCAGATGTACACTGAAGGATATGGTTAAGGCAATTTGAATAAATAAATTTGTGCTTTTTATAATATTTTAAGCTTTTGAATAAGGCGATTCAACATGATTATATATTATTGAATATATAAATGTAGATAAAGAAATTTCTTTCCTCTCAAACAATTTAAAATTTTAGATGATGTGATTTAAGACTATATTACAACAATCTATAGTTTTTGAGGTTCAAGTCTTAGTTCCACCCAATTAAGGAAATTTAATATGTCAGGCCACGAGTAAAAATTAAATCATTCATCCACATGAGAAGACATGTTGAAAATATAAATATAAAGAAAAAATATTCACTTTTTCTATAACAAGCTTTCATATCAGGTGATTTAACATATACGTGATTTCTCTGATCAAAGCTTCTTATAAAGAATGCCATTTCCATTTTTGTTTCTTTCCATTTTACAAGTTTTTTTGTTGAATAATGATATTATTGCCAAAAGCTTTTTAATTTTTTATTCCAATTTTTATCCTGCATTTCAATTTCAATGAAATGCTAACTTGTTGCATAGTAACTTAAAAGCAGAAAGTGCAAGAGCTGCAACCTTACTCTGCTATCTCGTACTGGTGTGGGCTGCAAAGTTACAAGAAAATTAGCTTCATCAAATAATTCATGGAAGAGAAGTCCAAAAACCTTGGGTTTCTTAGTTTTGACTTCTCCATCACATAGTCATTTGAAATTTATGTTGATGCTGGGATTTTTAACTCTGCAACGCACTCAACAAGCAATTGCAGGTTCAGAGATTGGTAGCGGATTGCAATCTATTCCATATTTAGGGAATCTCGGGGACATTAGCACAGGTTTTGCTTCAGTTAGGAAAATCTCCCTGTAACTTCTAATATTATCGTGCATGAAATCTATGTTGCTCTAGGTGCAATTTTCTTAATCCAAACTTTGAAAGTATATGTAAACTTCGGTTATCCTGACTCAAAAAATTCACTTGATATCCTTAATGATTCTATAGTGCTGTTGCATTATTTTCTTTAGTGAAATTAACACTTGCTCTATATCGTCTCTGGTGGTTATTCTCAGTGACGGATTTAGATGGTGGCCAGTTAGGGCGGCGGCCTCGCCCTAGCTGAATTCGTTGGAACCACTGGGTGCCGGCTGGCTGTGATTGTGAATCTGTGATATGACAGTCACAAATTTGGGCTGGTGTTTGGTTGTGATGCTGTTGGGTAGTTCACAATTGGGCCTTTTATTTTTATTTTTATTTTTTTAAGGGAAGAATTCATTTCTAAGAGTTTATTTATAGCCTATTTCAAAACTAAGAAAAAAGGTTTACAATTTCAAAATTCAGATATTGTTAAAATTTATTTATAAAATAATTGATTAATAAAATATTTTATTAATTAAATAAATTAAGGTCACAAATCTATATAATTTGGTCACAACTTATCAAATTAATTAGTTACAAATTATTTCTAAATCACAAATCGAAAATTCCATAAGTTACAAATTATTTGTCGGTCACAAATCAAAAATTTCACAGGTCACAATTCATTGATCGATTACAAAATCAAAATTTTTATTAGTCATAATTCATTTGTCGATCACACATCAGAAATTTAATAATTCACAATTCATTGATGGATCACAAAATCAAAATTTTTATTGATCATAACTCATTTGTCGATCACAAATAAAAAATTTCATACGTCACAATTCATTTATTGATCACAAAATCAAAATTTTTATTGGTTACAACTCATTTGCCAGTCACAAATTATCAAAATAATTGGTCACAGTTAATTTTATAGTGACAACTTAATAAATTATGAGTCACAATTACATTTTTTTAGGTCACATATTATTTATTGTACACAAATTAACTAATTTATTGGTCACAATTAACCAAATAATTGGTCACAAATTACCCCCATCCCATCCCATCTACCCCCAACCATCACCCGCCACGACCACACCAAACTTTGAAACCACCAATCGTGGCATCACCAGATCGTGAGTGCCACCACCAACACTATCATCATCGTCACCATCACGTCCACCACCACCACCACCACAAAATCACCTCAAAAATTACCACAAAATCGTTAAAACTCCCCCTTTTTTTTTACTATAAATAACCCCTTTCCCCAAAGATTTTTTTCATATTAATTGCTCTTCCAAGATTACAACTCTCTCAACTTTCTTTTATTATATCAATTATCGAGTTTTTACTCTCTTGTACTGCAAAATATATAATATCAATTCAATTTTTACAGTTTATTAGTTACAATTTCAATTCATCCAATTCTCAATTCTCACAATCTCACTACATTTATATTCATTTAGTCAAGATTTCATCATAAACAATCACAGAAATGGATTAACGTTCATTTGTTGAGAGCTTATTTGATACAGGATGTGAGCCATTGCCACATCATGGAGAATTGCCTAGGACACCGCAAAGTCAATTTTCAAATGAATTTGCTGGTCTAAATGATATATTGATACCTGAAAATGTTCACATTCATGGTCAGGAAAGCCACACTCCAATTGATTTGGATGATATTAACGTTCCCGAAGCGGAACACGAAGATGAAGATCAGCAATTAAATATCTCAGATGCGAGGGGAAAGCGAAAGGCCAAAAAAAAGCAAAATGTTGGGATCACTTTAAGTTGATTTCAATGGGAAAAGTCGTTGATGGCCTTGCAGAATTTAAAGTAGTATGTAAATACTGCCAACAAAGATTGGCATGGCAAAAAGGAATTGGTACCACTTATCTCAACCACCACTACAAATCATGTGCAGCCAGACATGGACTTCTTCCAGCTGGTCAAACACAATTACAATTTGGCAGTCCAGGCGCCGGTTCTATAACTTCACCCCTATTCACGTGGGTGTATTCGGAGGACGAAACTCGAATCGAAATGGTGAAATTTGTTGCCGCCACTAAGTTGCCTCTGGCTATTGCAGGCAACCAACACTTCGTCTCGTTCTTGAAAGAATATCTACAACTGAGGTACGTTGGGATAAGTCGAAACACTCTTCGTGCCGATACAATAAATTATCTCAATAATTCAAAACAACAATTAATTATGAATTTGCAACAATATGGGGGTGTTATATCCTTAACTTCTGATATATGGGAAGGGATTAATAAAAGAGCATATATAGGTGCAACCGCACACTATATAGATCCACTTTGGTACATGCATAAGAAAATTATTGCTTTTAGAATTATTGAATTTCCTCACAATGCTAATAATATATATAATGCTATTATCAGTATTGTTAGAGAATATCATTGTGAGAGTAAAATTCGATCTTTTACTTTTGATAATGTTATTGTTAATAAGGTAGTCGTCGATAAATTGTGTAGGACACTTCAACCTAATTTTGATGGGTATTTGTTTCATATTCGTTGTGTGTGTCATATCTTGAATTTAATTGTATAAGATGGTTTAAAACATATAAAGGATGAACTTCAAAGAATTGGGAATGCATTAGTATATATTACGATCTCTTCTAGTAGAAAACAAGTATTTGAAGATTTTTGTGTCGAATTAGGGGTGATGACTACTAAAACATTTGTTAGCGATGTAGGTCATAGATGGAACTCTACATGCTATTTAAATCATGTGAAGGTTTCGAAAATTTAATAACTAACTTTTATAATAATAGACATGTTAGAAGTGATGACGATGGTATGTTAAATGAATCCGATTGGATTTTAGTTTTGAAAGTTAAACGATTTTTGACATCTTTTTATGAGACCACAAAGATTTTATTCGGCGTTTATTATCCCACAAGTTGTATGGTGCTTGAACGCCTTTATATAATTGTAAGAACAATCCATAAATATAAAAATGATCCTATTTTTAGTGAAATTTAAATTGTTATGGAAATAAAGTTTAGAAAATATTGGGAAGAACTGCCTATGTTATTTCCTTTAGCATGCGCAATGGACCCTCAATATAATATTTCGGGAACTAAATACGTAATTAATCAAATCAATAAAGTTTTAATACTTGATACACCTATCACCTATAAGAATTTAGAGCAAACATTATGTGAAATGTATGATTTATATGTGGAAAGAATGGGTGCAAATGTTAGTCAGGTACCCTCTGCTGCACCTATTTCTTCTGCTGAAATTGAAGAAGATGATGCGGAAATAATGAATTTATTTCAGGGTATTAATACATTTAGATATGATGCAACTGCAATATGTTTATCTAGTGCCATGTCGTCTACATCTGCATCTCATCAAACATCGACCGAAACTCAAAATGCGATGTCTGTCGAATTAATTAATTATTTCAATCATAATATGACAACAGACAGAACAATTAAAAAAACTTCAAAAGAAGTAATTGAATTCTAGCGAAAGTATGAAAAACGTTGGCCAATTGTTTCTGCAATTGCGAAAGATCTATTGACACCTCTGGGTAGCACTATTGCTTCGGAGTCTGCTTTTAGTGCAGGTAAAAGGGTTTTGATTGATATCAGGAGTCAACTGAAAGAAGATGTTTTGGAAGCGTTAATGTGTGTGAAGGATTGACAGGACGCTCATTTTCGACTACAAGATAAATACGTTGAAATTGCATATCGTCAGGTAAGTGATATTTGATTTAATTATATTAATCAATTTTTTTATTTTTTAATCATTAAATTTAATTTTCTTTAAAAAACTGTACACGTTATAACAAGTTGTTCGTGTACAATTTTTAAATCCGCCTACTTAAAATTGATGTAGTCGGTCCCAAACCCGAATAAAGGAGGAGAGTTTACATTTTATTAACTTTAAAAAAAAATCAAAAAAATATATTTTTTGTAAATGTAATTCAATAAATAATTCGTTTTCATTATATAAATATTTTATACTTTATAAAAAGTATTACAAATTACAATATGATATAAATAACAATAATACAAACTTGTTTTCGTTAAATTATTTGTATTTTTTAACACTTTTTATTTTTAAAACTCTATTCTTTATTAACTTTAAAAAAAAATCAAAAAAATATATTTTTTGTAAAAGTATTTCAAAAAATAATTCGTTTTCATTATATAAATATTTTATACTTTATAAAAAGTATTACAAATTACAATATGATATAAATAAAAAAAATAAAAACTTGTTTTCGTTAAATTATTTATATTTTTTAACACTTTCTATTTTTAAAACTCTATTCTTTATTTAAAAAAAAATAATAAAAAAAAATTAGGCGAGCCCACGAGCCGAAGCTCGGCTCGGCCCACGAGCTCGTGGACACGATTCGCCACGAGCTCGCCCAAGTTCAACAAGCCGAGCCCGAGCTCGGCTCGTTGAAAATGAGCCACGAGCACGAGCACGAACACGAGCCGAACTCGTGGCATTAAGGGCCGAGCCGGCTCCACCCATTGCCAACCCTAGTTAGCACTCTCCGGTGAAAAGAACGAAGATAAAGGAAGATTGACCATCGGTGAACTATGAAGGAGAGAAACATTGACCGCCGGTGAAGGAGGGAAACTTTGTCTGATAATTTGTAGAGAGAGAGAGAGAATAGAAAGTCAGAGAAGAAAAAGAAAATGAAACGGGATAATTCTGGTTTGGGTATATAGGAACATTTCCTCTGATTTTTGAAATCGTAATTTAAGAATTCTGGTTTCCTGTAATTTCCTCTTTTTTTTTTTTTTAAATTTAGGCAGGCCCAAATCAATGAATCACCCATAGACCATCGACCAGATTACTTACCACTACCAGAGGTCCCGACTCCAGAATCAGTTTCCTGTTTTTCCCTAATTCTTGATTTCCTTCCCATCAAAACCGGGAGCCAGAGGCAAACCCTTCTTGAGTTCTTCAATTCGTTCCCCAATTCCTTCTCGTCAAACTAGTCACCTGAGTTCACTGATTGAGCTAGTAGCTGTAGCAGCGTGAACGGACTGAAGTGAACGGTGAACCCACTGACATGATTCGCCATTTTTTTTTTCTAAGTCTCTCATTCTCTAAGTCTCTGACTCTTTGTCTGTGATTTTTTGTGCAATTTTTCATGTATTTATAAATTATACAGATAACCCATCTATATTATGGTCCAATTTTTGGGTCGTTGATGAATTTAGCTTCGGTTTTTATTAAAATATTGTTTATTGTGCTTTGCCACTTTGGTGTAATTCAGATTTCAGTGTGTGATATTGTTTATTGTGCTTTGCCAATCACTTTCGTGTAATTTAATGCCTGATTATGTGATTGAATCATTGAACCTGCTTGTTTTGATGAAGCCCATTTTATGATTTTGATAATTAGATAGATGATATTTGTTGTTTTTATAATATTAATCATATGTATTATTAGATTGCAATGCAAACTTGCTGCAGTTAGTAAAAAAGTTAATAAATGGTGGAAAATAATGGGGAGAAACAGGTTGGATATTGAAATTTTAATAAACAATTGGCCGCCGGCCGGATCGGGGTTTTACAATTATTAATTGTCGACGATCAACGGTCAAAGTCAACATCCGCCCTAGCTGAACGATCATGCTAGATTCGCCCTTGGTCATTCTCCAGAGATGTTTATATACTACAGTGTAACCTCTGCATGTGTGGGTGTATCTTCTGTTTCTGGTATCATTATTATACCTTATTATTCTGAATTTGGAAGGTCAAGTGCTCTGTTATCATATTCACCAAAGGTTATCTTCCGTATAGAACTTAAATGATGCAAACACCCATTTGGTTAGAAAGTTTGTGGAGAAGCCAAAATGGTGTCCTTGGGGTTTCGGGTACTGAATAGAGATGATTCCTCTTCAATTAGGTTCATGATAATTATGCGATTAATTTCAATATACAAGTCTTTTCTCCTACTAAGGGCATGTTGGCCATAGCATGGGAATTTCTTTTGGGTTTTATTTGATTTTTCAAATCACATTTAAGAGCTTCTTTTCATTTTTATATATTTAAGTTTTGCCATCTTAAGTCTTTCTAAATCGCATTCCAATAAAATAGTTCTTGCGCTTACCACCTCCTTCCTCCACTTTTTTCTTGTTATGTCTCCCTTTCCTTGTGAGTTGAGTTACTGAAATATCACCCTTTTTGCGAGAATACTGGCTGATTTAATGAATGCAATCCTTATTTTGCAGGCATTCTTGCTGATACTTTTTTCCGAACTTGGGGACAAAACCTTCTGTAGTACCCAGTATTACGAACCCTTTAGTGATCAAGTATTTTTCAGTAAAATACAAAATATAAAAGTGCAGAAAATTAGAAAAATCAACGCAAGGAATTTTCGGCCAAAGGCCCTGAGGTTCGGCGACCAGCTAACACCTACATCCCCGTTGAGCATCCATATAAATTAAGCTCGAATCCACTTTCACAGTTCCCAAATTGGGCAAAAACAAGTTACGAAATATGAGAGTATTCTGTCGTTTTTAATCACAAGAGGCCCTCAGAAAATTATACATGAATCTCACTAAGAGATAAATCTCAACACTTCTTTGCAAAGATTTCACTCAGAAATCACAAGAAAAACACAACAGTAGATGAAGAGTTCAAAGAAGAAAACGACAGTCAAAAGAGAGATTAGGGTTAAACAAAAGGTCTCTCAAACCCTAATTATATGAGGCGTGTCCCATAGACCAACCCAACGGTCACAGTTATGTCACGTGTAGGAGATCCAATAGAGGACGCATTTTGAGTTAAAATTGCATTTCCAAAAAAAAAGACGACTTTATTAAATCTAGAACCTTCAGTAAATGGGTGTTTAAATCATTGGGCCGGGTAAAACACATTTTTACTTCAGAACATTAACTGGGCTCAAAGATTTCAGCAGCCCAAATGTTTACACCTTCTTTATCGCTGTAAGATATTATTAATTTCCAGTTTGATGGCTCATGAAACTTCTCTCCATACTTAATTTATTGACTTTATTGACTACATACTTGTACAAATGTTAGTCTCTATGCATTTTGGACGGAGAATAAGTCCAAAGGGCTCATCATTATAAAATGCGAAGAATTGCAGATAGAAAAATTTCTATCCATATATATATACATACAAATGAACCCAACTCCTTGTCTACCATTAGATAATGAGAAATTATCTTGTGATCAAAATATAACCTAGCATGTGTATTCCATATTATCGTGCCCTTGATAACCTACTCTCTAGTAAGATAACTATTGGATTTATGCTCTCCTGATCAGGCACTTTTAGCTGCTAGGAACTCGTCTGCTGTTACCTTCCTTGGGACTTTTGGAGCTCTTGCGTAAGTTTTTTTGTGCCGTGATTAAAATATAAATCTGATCTGCAAATGAGGGGGGCATGTTGAACAAAAAATAAACTAAATGCATTTGTCTCCACTCTGAGAGATTAAGCTTCTACGTGAAGTGGTTCAATGCAGATTCCTTCTGTTTGCAGAATAATTTTATTGTATGTATAATGATATGGGATCCGAATATTCCTTACCTGTAAAATTACCTATAAATGATTATGGAAGTTTTAGCCAAGACTAATAAAGTTCATGGCTGGTTGCTAGTCAAGCCTTATCACTTGCACTTGTATGATTCAATGCATTACAAGTATACTTCGAAGTTTTAAAATCATGCTATGAAGGAGCATGTGTTTCTTGTTTGGACAGATTCTCGAGGATCATTAGGAAAATCTTGGATATTCTTCAACACCATATCCAATCTTCAAAAACAATCACATTACTACTAGATATCATGATAATTTTCCTATCTATCTTCAGCATGGAAATTCATTTATTGTACTTGAAATATTGGTAACATTTATTTCCTTTGTACTCACAGTTGGCTTCTTGTATCATGAGCAGGGTAATGACAATCATATCTGTTGTTCTTGGACGAACTTTTCACTTTGTTGACGCTATCCTCCCATTCAAGTTAGCTTCATTTATCTTATACTCCTTCCTT